GGTGAAGGGACAGGCCTTCGACGTGGGGCCGCGCTACACGGAGCTGCAGTATATCGGCGAGGGCGCGTACGGCATGGTGTGGTGAGCTGGCCCTGCGCGGCCGCCGTAGCGAGCCCCCGGCCCCGCCGGCCCCCTGCGGGCCACCGTAGTAGGCCTGACTGCGGGCACTGACTCTTCCGCGCTGCCGTACGCGCGGTGGGACACCGGAAGTGACCCCGACTACCCCCCGTGTGGGCAATGGGACCTCGGAAGTGACCCCTCTTGGTCCCCGTAGGGGCTGTGGGGCGCCGGAAAGATTCCCCTGGGACACCGTAGATTTCCTCCCCTAGGGAACTGACCCCTCCGAGCCACTGTGCCCCACTGCATTGTGGGCAATGGACTCCCTTCAGCTCAGCATGACATTCATGGCTCGCCAGGCCACTGAAATCGTCTCTGTTACATTTATGAAGGCCTTTGCCACTGCCTCCAGGCCACCGTACGCCACTGCATTTCCGCCCCCCCGTGCAGCACTCCTCTAGGTTACCGTGGCCCGTTCTCGTTCCCTCCAGGCTGCTGTCGCACTGTCAGCCCTCTGCTGCAAGCCCTGGTTGTCGCAGCCCGTCTCCCCTTACGTTTCTGGTGCCCTGTGCCACCGATCCCTCCTGGGCGGGGAGGGTGGGGGTGTACTCGGGTCAGTGCCATCTCTGCTCCCCATCCCCACCCCACCATTACATTTATGGCGCCCTCTGCTCCAGGCCCTCCCAAGTTGTTGCGGCCCCATCTCCCGTTGCGTTTCTGGTGCCCTCCCAGGCGGGAGCCATAGCTGAGTCTGTGTCACTCATGCTCCACCCCCCCCGCCCCCCCCCACCTCAGCCTCCGCCCACGTAACGAAGACCCCGGCGGCCATCAAGAAGATCAGCCCATTCGAGCACCAGACGTACTGCCAGCGCACGCTGCGGGAGATCAAGATCCTGCTGCGCTTCCGCCACGAGAACATCATCGGCATCAACGACATCCTGCGTGCCCCCAGCCTCGACCAGATGCGCGATGTGTATCCGCTGCCCCAGAGCCAGCCGCGTTGTGGGGGGGAGGGGTCCCACCCCAGAGCCAGCCGCAGCGGGGAGGCAATGCGCTGTTATTGCCAGGCCTGCCCCAGAGCCAGCTGCACCGGGGGGGCAGGGGCCCAGTGTCTCACCCCACAGCCAGCCGCATTATGCGGCAGGGGGGTCTAGTATATCCAGCCCCTGGTGCCACCCCAGAACCAGCTGCATTATGGGGAGTGGGGGCTGTTGTACCCAGCCCCTAGTGTCTCACCCCAGGGCCAGCTGCATTATGGGGACCCTATTATACCCAGCCCCCAAGAGCACACCCCAGAGCCAGCCGCATTGCAGGGGCTGGTGGTATATTCTGCTTCAGCCTCTCCCTAGAGCTGGCTGCCTAAGAGGTTCCCTGTTATACCCGGCCCCCAGTGTCTCGCCCCAGAGCCAGCTGCATTATAGGAGCCCTGTTATACCTAGTCCCCAAAGTCTCACCCCTTAGCCAGTTGCATGATGGGGCCCCGTTACACCCAGCTATTGCCTTCCCACCCCAGAGCAGCTGCGTTGTGCAGGCTGTTACACTCAGCCTCAGCCCCACCCCAGAGCCAGCTGCATTACAGGGACCCGGTTATGCCCAGCCACCCTCCCCACCACGGCCCTTGACCCCCGCACCCAGCTACATCGTACAGGACCTGATGGAGACGGACCTCTACAAGCTGCTCAAGACGCAGCAGCTGAGCAATGACCACGTCTGCTACTTCCTCTACCAGATCCTGCGGGGCCTCAAGTACATCCACTCGGCCAATGTCCTCCACCGCGACCTCAAGCCCAGCAACCTGCTCATCAACACCACGTGCGATCTCAAGGTGCGGCGGCAGGGGGGTCCCGCCGGGCCACTGTAGCCCGTAAAACGCTTGTCCGGGGCTGTGTGTCCTCAGGGGACCACCGTACCCGATGTCTCTGTGGAACCCGCAGAGCCGATCTCTGGGTCTGCTGTGGCCTCTCTGGGCCACTGCAGGACACATACAAGGCACTGATTGGGCATCGGTGGCCCCCGCGGGCCACTGTAGGACCCAGCAACCACACCTCTGGGGGGGTCCGTGTCTCTTTCGGGTCACCATACCCCACAAAATGAGCCCTTCGGGGCTCTGTGTTCCCTCTGGGCCGCCGTCGGACCCGTGAAACCCATCTGTTGGGCTTGCGGGTCCCTTCCAGGCTACTGCAGGACTCCCAGTACCCAGGTGTGGGGTATATATGTCCCCTCCAAGCCACATGAAACCCACCTCTGGGGCCCCAATGCCCCTTCCAGGCCACCATAGGACCGCCAGAGCCCATGTCTGTCCCCCATAGAGCCCATAAAACCCAGCTATTGGGACTCCAAGTCCGCTCTGGGCCACCGTTGGACCCCAAACCCCTGTATGGGGCATATCTGGCCCTTCCAGGCCACTGTAGAAAAATTAAACCCACCTCTGGGGCCCTAATGTTCCCCCCAGGCCACCATAGGACCCCAGAGACCACGGTTGGGGCTGTAATGTCCCCTCCAGGCCACCATCGAGCCCCCCAAACCCCTGTATTGGGCATATCTGTTCCCTCCAGGCCACCGTACTTGTGGTGTGATGCCCTCTGTCCTCCCCCACCCCCAGATCTGTGACTTTGGGCTGGCCCGGATCGCTGACCCCGAGCACGACCACACAGGCTTCCTCACCGAGTACGTGGCCACACGCTGGTACCGCGCCCCCGAGATCATGCTCAATTCCAAGGTGAGGCCCCAGACGCCTGGCTTCCCTCGGTGGGGAGGGGGGGGCGGTAAAGCGGGACTTGTTCCGTTCAGCCGGGCCACCCCTGACTCACCTGCAGCATCGGGCCTGCCTCAGAGCTGGCCGCAAACCCATTACGCCCTGGCACCCACCCCAGAGCTGGCCGCAGCTGTGTTACACGCCAGTGCCCACCCCAGACTGTTACACCTGGCCCTTGAGGCCCACCCCCGAGCTGGCTGCAGCTCCATCTCACCCCACCCCGGAGCTGGCTGCAGGCCTGTTACGCCCTGGCGCCCTCCCCGGAGCTGGTTACACCTTGGCACCCACCCCAGAGCTGGCCATAGCCCCGTTACACCCCGGTGCCCGCCCCAGACTCAGACGCATCTCCCCCCAGGGCTACACAAAGTCCATCGACATCTGGTCGGTCGGCTGCATCCTGGCGGAGATGCTCTCCAACCGGCCCATCTTCCCTGGGAAGCACTACCTGGATCAGCTCAACCACATACTGGGTGAGGGGGCGGGGCTTTGTGGCCAGGGGGTGGGGTTTCGTGGCTGGGGGAAAGGGTGGAGGCTTTGGGTGGGTGAAGGGCTGTCTTCCACGGGGTGTGGATGGTGGCAGGGAGGGGAAAGGCTTAGAATAAGGGGCGTGGTCATGCAAATCGGGGTGGGCGTGGTAGAGAGGTGGAGCTTAAAATAAGGGGTGGGGTGATGCTTATTTGGGTATGAATGAGGGGTGGGGCTTGGAAATCAGGGCTGGGGTTATGCAAGTCTGCTTGTGCCCAGGTGGGGGGCAGTGAAGCAAGGTGATGTCAACCCCAGTGGGTGGGGCCTGCAGGGAGGGGCGGGGCCCTTGGGGGCAGGGCCTGACTCGATCCCGCCCACAGGGGTGCTGGGGTCGCCCTCGCAGGACGACCTCAACTGCATCATCAACATGAAGGCGCGAAACTACCTGCAGTCGCTGCCGCACAAGGCCCAGGTGCCCTGGGCCAAGCTCTTCCCCAAGGCCGACCCCAAGGGTGAGGTCACGGGGGCGGGGCTAGAGCTCGGGGGTGGGGGTTGGGATGGGGGTGG